GCACAGTAGTAATGGTGACGTCGCTGCTGTGTACCTGCAATGGATAGACTGCTTGTGTTGACTAGTTCAAAAATGTCAAAACATTGTTGAACTTAGGTTATTTAGTACATTGTCATCATTTGCATAACAAAATATTTAATTCTTCCTGGCACTGTTCTATATAAGATGCTAGTTTTAAGATTTTACTGTATTTTTCAGTAATTCTTACATTTTCACAACTTTGTATACCAATGACATTTCCTCTAGACAAACTTTTGTAATTATATTTTATTTTGTATTTGTTGTACATGTTAAAAAAATCCTGAGGCAGTGTGCCACTGCTAGGGCTGTGGTCCCCAGGTTGTATATGAAGGTGCCAGGGGCTGTGTGAGGTCACCAGGCCCTAGGTAGAAACAAAGGTGTCTGCTAGGGCCTATGTGAGGCTCGTCTGGTTGAGCAGTACAAGAGGTACGTGAGACATGTCAACCAGGTTGTAGCCTTGCACTGGCCAAGGTTAGAGTCTACTTAAGGCAACTGTTGGCAGATCCAGATCACAAAGAGCGACTTTACGAGGAGAAACAGACATTTAAACTAAATTTGAACCATGTAAATAAACCATTGTTTTGTTTTTTCGTGTTTTATATAGTATATCCAAAAGAAAACTAAGCTGCTGCTTAAACTCAAATTACAGTTTTCTGTGATACAAATTTCCGTTTTCTATGATAATCTACGAATGAAAATTAGGTAATATTTCTCCAAAACGCCATAGAAAATTAAAATAATCTACTTTCCGAAAAGTAGATTATCGATTTTCAGGGGAAGTAGATTATCGACGTTTTGGGAAATATTACCTAATGCAAACAAAACTATCTGAAAAATGTCACTTTCTGGGAAAGTTGGTTTCTACTTATCATAAAAAGCAGAAATGTGTATCGAAAATGAAATAATCTACTTTCCGGGAAAGTTGGTTATCTACCTTTCCCGAAAGTAGATTATCTACTTTTCAGAAAGTAGATTATCATTTCGAGGAAGTAGATTATCGACGTTTTGGAAATATTACCTAATTTCCAAGTAGATTATCATAGAAAACAGGAAATTTGTATCACGAAAACGGAAATATCTACTCTCTGGGAAGTTGGTTATCTACTTTCCCGAAAGTGATTATCTACTTTTCAGAAAGTAGATAACCAACTTTTCCGGAAAGTACATTATTTCCCGTTTTCTATGATAAGTAGATCTTTCCCGGAAAGTAGATTATTTCGTTTTCGGATTCAATTTCCGTTTTCAGAAAGTAGATAACCAATTTCCTAGAAATAGATATTTCCGTTTTCTATGATAATCTACTTCTGAAAATTAGGTAATATTTCCCCAAAACGTCGATAATCTACTTCCCCGAAAAGTCGATAATCTACTTTCCCGAAAAAGTAGATAATCTACTTTTGGGAAAATAAATACCAACTCAGAGAGTAGATATTTCCGTTTTCTATGATACATATTTCCGTTTTCTATGATAATCTACTTCTGAAAATTAGGTAATATTTCTCAAAAGTCGAAATCTACTTCCCGAAGTCGATAATCTACTTTCCCGAAAAATGAATAATCACTTGGAAGAAGTAATAACACTTTCTCAGAAGTAGATTATTTCCCATTTTCTATGATACAAATTTCCCGTTTTCTATGATAATTATAACAGTTGAAATGCCCTTGACACAACCACTCCAAAATAGGCCAGAGTCCACCTACTTCTATTTCGATGAATTAATTTACTGTACAATCTGATGTTGAAACTGAGACCATGAACTCAGTTTCATTCTCTACTAATATCTTCACTAACAATGCTCTGACTCAGCTATCAAAAGCAAAATTAAATTGATTACAAAGGGTTGGATGGCAACATTTCTGGCATACAGCGTCTTGCTACGAAATCCGGCCATTATATTCATATTTCCTTTAGACAAAGACGGCCTATCGATGACGTCATCAAGGAAACAAGAAAACGGGAACGTTTCCACTGGGGACTCAGAAGGTTTTGTGGACGTGTAGTGGATTTCTCCCTAACGCTGTTTCTTATTAAACCCCAGAATTCACAGTGTGTGCCCCTCGTGGTCTACCAGCGTCGCCATCATGGAGCTGGGGTCAACTACTAAGCCATGCCTACCCCTGCTATTTAAGACCTGACCTCATGGTGACCTGTCTTTTCTACCTCCACCAACCAGCTAGCAACAACCTCCTCCTCCTCCGCGCTGCCTGGCAGCCCCTCGCTCCCATGACGAGCATGGCGACCCTGGCTGTCCTTCTCTGAGCATCCTCACCAACCAGCTCTCTACATCACGCTTGTAACCATTGTTACGAACCGCCATCTATTGTCATGATCTACCTACCCAGCACCACGAGCAACACCATCTAGGGACAGAAACCCCAGTATGACTAGTCTTAGTTACCACTCCAGGGTTTCCCTTCTCCTATCCTGGTTGTTGCGTCACCTCCTCAAGTCTTCCTCATCAGCTCCAGATTGAGGAGAGTCAGTTCACTCTGGGAAGTGAACACTAGATCACCTATCCTGACCTATAGCACATGACTACCTACCATCTTCTTCAATGCTCAGTCTTACTCGTCAGCCATCTCCTGCACTTGAGTATTTTGTAATCTTATATTGCCTCCCCACGTCCACACTTTCGAATGTTAAAATAATATATATACTGTTAAGCTAATATTGCGTATGTTTAGGTTAAACATGGTTAGGATAATTTATAAGAAGCTGGATATTTTGTTAAAATTTATAGTACTTTATTATACACAACAAAACTCCTTTGTCTACCCTTTATAGTCCGATTGTCTTTGTTTTTTATTGTTATTTGCCTGTTGGGATCTGGAGTAGACTTTACTATATTCTAAATCCCCAACTCGTAACACCATGCTGCCTTCCCAGCACCAAGCTGCATTGTACATCAATACAACATGTATATAGAGCACATTGGCGGTTTCCTTTCTCCATCCATCCTAGTGTGAACACAAACATCCAAAAACCCACAGACGTTTGAGCGTAATATGAATCTTTAAGGTTCTCAGGTTAGCCGTCATCACGATCATGACAACACACACACACTGGTAAAAGACATATAAATGGAAATGGATAAAAGTAAAAAATAATAATTTTTAATCATTATTTATTACCACAATTCTTGCTCTTAAGGAATAATATAGTGCTATGTTGACCACTAAGCTCACAAATATTTAAGTCAGAATATATCCAATATTTGAGAACTAATCTGTTGATATTAAAATATTTAATGATTTAATTATTTAATTAAGTGTACCAAATTGGTATCGAATATTGTATCAGAATAAATTGCCGTAAAGATTACTTGATATCCACTAGTACAGTGTGATATATATACCAGCCTAATGGATCACCTGAATATTAGACACCTAGTTTATTTCACATGAATATTAGACACCCTAGTTTATGTAAACAGAAGGAAGATTCAGGGGGTCTTGGTGAGTAAAATGTAGACAAGAGGAAGATTCTGGGGGATTTGGTAAGTAAGATGTAAACAGAGGGAAGATTCCTGGGGGTCTTGGTGAGTAAGATGTAAACAGAGGAAGATTCTGGGGTCTTGGTGATAGATGTAAACAGAGGAAGATTCTGGGGTCTTAGTGAGTAAGATGTAAACAGAGGAAGATTCTGGGGTCTTGGTGAGTAAGATGTAAACAGAGGAAGATTCTGGGGTCTTGGTGAGTAAGATGTAAACAGAGGAAGATTCTGGGGGTCTTGGTGAGTAAGATCCGATAGTGTGTCTTACTCAGCAACAATACCATACTGTACTATACCAGCGAGATTTAATTTATTAAGTATAGCAAGGCAGTATGTCTATACCTCAATTCAGCTCAAGTTTTTAAGCTGTATTGTGTACTTTTTTTTGGGGGTGTAGGGCATCACGTTTGCTGACATAGAAAATGGGAGATTGAGTAACTCTTTAATACCATACTATTATAAACACCTCCTATATATTCAGCTGGGTCGTAGGACTTTCTACATATAAAAACTCCTTGTAACTCAATTCATTCTTCTTGAAGCTGAAAAAACGAAGCTATAGATCATGAAAAATGAAGAAAGTCGATAGAAGAGTTATTAATATTTGTGAAAAGGTAAAATCATAATATTATATAAGTTTGGATCAAATATTGATCATGAACAAGAGTGACTATATCACACAAGCAAATGCTTTCTTTAAGTTTAGCCATATATGAACATTTTAACCCTCATAGTACAGTCCCTTCACTAGTGCGTTTACAGGGCTTGTTATATAGCTGGGTACAGTCCCTTCACTATTGCATTTACAGGGCTCGTTATATAGCCCTGAGTACAGTCCCTTCACTAATTGCGTTTGGGGCTCGTTATATAGCCTAAGGTACAGTCCCTTCACTAATTCGTTTACAGGGGCTCGTTATATAGCCTAAGTACAGGCCCCTTCACTGGTGCATTTACAGGACTCGTATATAGCCTGAGTACAGTCCTTCACTAGATGCGTTTAGGGGCTGCATATATAGCCTAGGTACAGTCCTTCACTAGTGCGTTACAGGGGCTCGTTATATAGCCTGGTACGTCCCTTCACTAGATGCGTTTACAGGGGCTCGTATATAGCCTGGTACAGGCCTTCACTAGTGCATTACAGGGGCTCGTTATATAGCCTAGGTAAGTCCTTCACTAGCGCGTTTACAGGGGCTAGATTATAAGCCTAGGTACAGTCCCTTCACTAATGCATTTACAGGGGCTCGTTATATAGCCTAAGTACAGTCCCTTCACTAGTGCGTTTACAGGGGCATCGTTATATAGCCTAGAGTACAGTCCCTTCCTGTGCGTTTACAGGGCTCGTTATATGCCCAGTACAGTCCCTTCACTAGTGCGTTTACAGGCTACCGTCAGGTTTAGTGCAGTGTGGCAGTCCTGTTTTGTTGACATTCGACAGAAGAAACTCCACAATATTAAACTACATGGAATCAGAATTAAAACAAAATTAAAAACAAATATCTCAGTGTAATGATTTGTGAAATGTTTATATATTGACCCCCTGTAAACACACTATTGAAGGGACTGTGCATATAGATTACGAAGCACTCACTAACTAAGAATGACAAACACAAACAATATTGCTGGGGATGGTAATGAATTATAACACACATACAGTAAACAATTGGTCCCAAATATACTACTTTACCAGCAGCAAGGATTAGATAATGTAGACAAGACACAAACACCAATGTGGCAAAGAGGATAAAGTTTTCCATAGGCGTTTGTTTACTATTAACATTTTATGGGTAAATGCCAAGAGATGAGGCTTTCTTGTTCAATGTTTTGATTATTGATTTATGGTGTGGCCTTAATATCTAGGGCTTTAATCACCCCCCGCAACATTATCTTAAACTACAACAACAACAACAACAGCGATATAATTAGCACGACAGAAGCCAGATAAGAGTTGTACACAAGAGCAGGTAGAAACAGATGGGTCATGAAGAGTAGAGGCGCTCTCCTTCATTGTATAGTGTTGTTGTGACTCTTTAGAATACAGGCACTGAGCTCAGTAAGGAGCACGGTAGTAGGAGCTCCCCAGTGTCTTGTGGAATTCGTCCTCTCGTACATTTACCAACTCGGTGGCAGAATCCTGTAAGCAATATATACTAGTTAAGAAAAGATAATATATATTTATCTTCGTGGTGTTATTGTCACTTTTTGGGGACGAGTGTTTGCAAACATTGACATCTCGTTGGCAGGTGAGTTGAGTTCCATCCTATTGTGAGATTATGTTTGTTTCATATACTGTAGAGAATCTGCCCGATGTAACATATATAAAACGGAGGTGATTACTTAGTCTGAAAAGAACCTTAGAGCCAGTTAAAAAGACTTAGAAGAAACAATTAGAAATAAAAAGATAGAAAATAGGTGAAAAAGAAAAGAAAAGTAAATAACATAATAAGTAAATATGATAATAAGTAAAGACAATAATAAGTGAAAAATAGGAACGAAAATAGTTAGAGATAACTGAAAAATAAATATGAAAAATAAAGATAATTAAATATAAAATAAACTATTTACTAACGGCCAGACAACAGACCAATGACAATGACAATAAAATAAGATTAAATACAGAAAAGAAGGGATTAATTACAGTAGACTAGCCAAACCTAACCTAACCTTTACCTAACCTAACCAACCCAATCTAAATTAACATCTTTGTATAATTAAAATTCTAAACAAAGCATCACTTGAATTCCAGCCTTACCTAACAAAAACCTAACCTAACCAAACCAAACCTTACCTTGAAAATAAGATCCTTTCTACCCTGGAATGGGCCGAAGGTGAAAATATCCTGTCCCTTGGTAGCTGTTCTGACGCCCTAAGAATAGGATCCGAATCTCTTCAAGCATGGTACCATTAGAGTGGGGACCGGCCAATACCTGGAGGTGAAATAGAACCAAGTGAGGTGGTGTTCCAGTGTCTTTTAACAGTGGAGCATTGGAGGTGGTGTTCCAGTGTTCCTTTAACGGTGGAGTATTGGAGGTGGTGTTCCAGTGTTCCTTTTAACGGTGGAGTATTGGAGGTGGTGTTCCAGTGTTCCTTTTAACGGTGGAGTATTGGAGGTGGTGTTCCAGTGTTCCTTTTAACAGTGGAGCATTGAGGTAGTGTTTATAAAGAAGGTTCCAGTGTTCCTTTAACGGTGGAACATTGGAGATGGTGTTCCTAAGAGGGTTCCAGTGTTCCCTTTAACGGTGGAGCATTGGAGGTAGTGTTTATATAGAAGGTTCCAGTGTTCCTTTTGTTTTAATAAGGTGGAGCATTGGAGGTGGTGTTAAAAGATGATCATGGGGTTAAATCCTCCTTAAAGAATTAAATCATGGGGTTAAATCATCACACATGAAAATATATACCATCTACTCCATGTAATAAAACCATCATCCTACAGGGTTAAAACTAGTATCCTGTTGTCATCATTCTACAGGGGTTAAAACCATCATCCTACAGGGTTAAACTAGTATCCTGTTAAGTCATCATTCTACGGGGGTTAAAACCATCATCCTACAGGGGTTAAAACTAGTATCCTGTTAAGTCATCATTCTACAGGGGTTAAAACTAGTATCCTGTTAAGTCATCATTCTACAGGGTTAAAACCATCATCCTACAGGAGTTAAAACTAGTATCCTGTTAAGTCATCATTCTACAGGCGTTAAAACCATCATCCTACAGGAGTTAAAACTAGTATCCTGTTAAGTCATCATTCTACAGGGGTTAAAACCATCATCCTACAGGGGTTAAAACTAGTATCCTGTTAAGTCATCATTCTACGGGGTTAAAACCATCATCCTACAGGGGTTAAAACTAGTATCCTGTTAAGTCATCATTTTACAGGGGTTAAAACCATCATCCTACAGGGTTAAAACTAGTATCCTGTTAAGTCATCATTCTAGGGTTAAAACCATCATCCTACAGGAGTTAAAACTAGTATCCTGTTAAGTCATCATTCTACAGGGGTTAAAACCATCATCCTACAGGAGTTAAAACTAGTATCCTGTTAAGTCATCATTCTACAGGGTTAAAACCATCATTCTACAGGGGTTAAACCATCATCCTACAGGAGTTAAAACTAGTATCCTGTTAAGTCATCATTCTACAGGGGTTAAACTAGTATCGTGTTAAGTCATCATTCTACAGGTTAAAACCATCATTCTACAGGAGTTAAAACTAGTATCCTGTTAAGTCATCATCCTACAGGAGTTAAAACTAGTATCCTGTTAAGTCATCATTCTACAGGGGTTAAACCATCATTCTACAGGGGTTAAAACCATCATCATCCTACAGGAGTAAAACTAGTATCCTGTTAAGTCATCATCCTACAGGAGTTAAAACTAGTATCCTGTTAAGTCATCATTCTACAGGGGTTAAACCATCATTCTACAGGGGTTAAAACCATCATCCTACAGGAGTTAAAACTAGTATCCTGTTAAGTCATCATCCTACAGGAGTTAAAACTAGTATCCTGTTAAGTCATCATTCTACAGGGATTAAAACCATCATTCTACAGGGTTAAAACCATCATCCTACAGGAGTTAAAACTAGTATCCTGTTGTCATCATCCTACAGGAGTTAAAACTAGTATCCTGTTAAGTCATCATTCTACAGGTTAAAACCATCATTCTACAGGGGTTAAAACCATCATCCTACAGGAGTTAAAACTAGTATCCTGTTAAGTCATCATTCTACAGGGGTTAAAACTAGTATCGTGTTAAGTCATCATTCCTACAGGTTAAAACTAGTGTCCTGTTAAGTCATCATTCTACAGGCGTTAAAACCATCATCCTACAGGTATTAAAACTAGTATCCTATTCAACCAGTATCCTACAGGTGTTAAAACAAGTAACCTATTAAGCCATCATGCCACAGGGGTTAAACCATCATGCTACAGGTGTTAAACAAGTATCCTATTAAACCACCATGCTACAGGTGTTAAACCACTCACCTTGTGGGCCGGGACACGTGCTAGGTGGCAGGCGTTGTAGTCGACCACATCAGCTGTCCCAGTTTTCTTACACAGCAACTTGAAGTCCAATGCTCGTAGATTCTTCGCCCACTGCGCCTGATTGTTGTCATCTAAAAAAGTATCGTTCAGTGTGGCAAAGTTGTCATATTAGAAAGTCCAGTGTAGTAAATTTGTCATATTAGGAAGTCCAGTGTAGTAAATTTGTCATATTAGGAAGTCCATGTAGTAAATTTGTCATATTAGGAAGTCCAGTGGTAAAGTTGTCATATCTACGGTTGCCATCTACAGGAAGTTCTGCTCAGTGAAGCAAAGTTGTTATATCTACAGGAAACATAATTCTGTGTAAAATAATATAAAACCATAAAGGAACATTATCAAAAAATACACAGTTAAAAAAGTATCTATACCAAATTGTGTTGAAAAATATGGCACAGCGGACGAAGAATTTTAACAACCCCACAGACAACAGGAGTCACAGTGTTCATTCTGGAATTCATCAATCACCCCAAGTACAGTTATTTTCTTGAGTGACCCATTACATATATAGAGTTATGAGGGCTGAGCTGCCACCATTTATGAGGGCTGCTACTGCCACCATTCATGAGGGCTCAGTGCAGTAACAATTCCTGTTACTTTATACTATTGGTGACGATAGGGAGGCTCGTGTAATGATAGTATCAAGCAATAGGGAAGAAATAACGGTAAATACTGTAGGTAAATAATATACACAATTATACAAATACAAAGTTTATTTAAACATGAATATGAAATTAGAAGAAAAATTGGTTTGTACTAACAGACGAAATCTATTACTAGCCCTCAGGCTCAACATACTCACACCATTACTGGGTGGACATATTCAATACACTTCCAACTCTACTGGGTGGACATACTCAATAGCACAACTATGATAGTCACTTAGCACCATAAATACTAGGCAACTGCCACTAACAACACTCAGTCGTCAGGAGTGATACTACAACAGCCATGGGGTCCAGCCACCATGGAGTACTATCCGACGAACTCTGGAGATCCCAGTGGGTTAATTCCACCACACAAATATAGCCCTACTGAGTTAGACACTCATCCACCAATGATGGGGCTGGTAGTGGTGTGTGGCTTGGTGGTCCAGGGTCACCTCGTGGACCGAGCGTTAGGCCAGACGAGCCAGCTATGGGGGCTATAGGTGGTCTGAAGTGTCTGACGGCCGGGTCTCACGAAGGTAACTGATCCCATTGACCTCGGACATGTCCCCAGACATAGTGGATCCACCCTACAGACACGGCTAAGCTGCGTTAGGGACCTGTATGGATGAAGGGACGGCACTTACTCACCGGTGACAACAACAACACGTTTCAGGGGACGTTAAAGACGTAAATATGACTTTACTCAGAGCATATCAACTACGTTACTGTAACACTTGCACAATCAACTATTAATTGGGCAAATCACTTAAAGAAGGGCAAATCACAACCCAGCGTGGAATGGCATACCTGTATGGATGAAGGGACGGCACTTACTAACGGTTAAAATGCCCGCGTGCCTCACCCAAACCAGACCAGGAGTCCAGCTACCCCTATTCCAATGAATTAATTTACGGCAACCCTCTGACGTTGAAATTGAGACTATGAACCTTTTCATTCTCTACTATTATCTTCACTAACAATGCTCTGACTCAGCTATCGAAAGCAGAATTAAATTGATTACAAAGGAATGGATGGCAACAGGTCCCAGCATACAGCGTCTGTCTCCATAGACAAAGGTGGGGAAACAGAGAACGGGGGACGTTTCCACTGGGGGACTCGGAAGGTTTGTGGACGTTTGAGCGTAATATGAATCCTTAAGGTTTTCAGGTTAGCTCTTATCATGACCATTACAGAGTGTCTCAGAATAGTTCCTCCTCCAACTCACAGTGTCTCAGGAGGGGTGAGGGAGACAGGGAGGAAACAGGAAACATGTTTGAAGTACCGTGAAAATCAAAATAAACTCACTTGTGTTTTCGCCTACAGTTGTGTGTTTGACGAAGGCCACATCACCACCTCCTTCCACCAGGCACCTGAAGGCACCTGTGTATCCGTAGAAGGCTTCAGCTGAATTCTCTCACTGCCCTGAGTATTTGAAGTGGTGTATGACGGACCAGAAACCCTTCAACTGTGATAGATGAGGAAACAGATTTGATGACCCCTTCTCAACCTATACTGAGAGGTGAATGTGTTTACAATTAATGTGAGTGAGACCTTACCAGCTCAAAGGACAATATTGACTCAATGTACAGTTACCTACAAAGGTCCGTTCGCCTCTTCCCCGAACCACGAACCCCAAAGATTCAGACTCGTGAACCTGAAGCAGTTGACTGATACATTATTTCGTCTAGTTTGTGTTCACTTCCAGTCAACAGTTTGTAACAGAGAATTGTCAAACTGTCTAGTAAACTGGCATTTTGTAAAGGAGAAGCATTGAACTGTTTCATGTGATCTGAAACCATTAAGGAACTGTTTCATGTGATCTAAGAACCATTAAGAACTGTTTCAAGGATCTAAGAACCATTAAAGAACTGTTTCATGTGATCTAAGAACCATTAAAGAACTGTTTCATGTGATCTGAAACCATTAAGAACTTTCATGTGATCTGAGAACCATTAAAGAACTGTTTCAAGTGATCTAAGAACCATTAAAGAACCGTTTTCATGTGATCTAAGAACCATTAAAGAACTGTTTGAAGTGATCTGAGAACCATTAAAGAACTGTGTCATGATCTAAGAACCATTAAAGAACTGTTTCATGATCTAAGAACCATTAAAGAACTGTTTTAAGTGATCTGAGAACCATTAAAGAACTGTTTCAAGTGATCTAAGAACCATTAAAGAACTGTGTCATGATCTAAGAACCATTAAAGAACTGTTTCATGTGATCTAAGAACCATTTAGAACATAACATATATTTCTTCTGATAATTTAGTTAGCAATAATAACACACTATCCTAACCCTATTCAATATCTCTATCTCTAATTTAACCTAATCATTCCAATTTAATTCTGGTTCAATTCCAATCTAATCCTAACCTAACCTAACCTTACCCTGAGTGACAATATGCGTGTACCTACCTCAGTGCCAACACATAGCTCACAGAGTGACTTGGTTAGTGCCTTGGATCATATGTAGGATCCTTGGCACCTGGGGCACAAGAACTACTGAAGAAGGTGCCAATCTCCCCGGCGTAGTCACAATTGCCTGCCTTCAGAAGACCAGCCTCCAGTAAGGTTACCACAGGAATCTTCCACCCTAGAAAATAAGGTAAGGTTAGATTAGGTTAAGTTAGGTTAGATTAGGTTAAGGTTAGGTTAGATTAAATTAAGTATTGGTTAGGTTAGGTTAGATTACGTTGTTAGGTTAGATTAAATTAAGTATTGGTTACGTTAGGTTAAGTTAGGTTAGATTAGATTAAGTATAGTTAGGTTAGATTAGTTGGTTAGGTTAGATTAGATTAAGTATAGGTTAGGTTAGATTAGGTTAGTTAGGTTAGATTAGATTAAGTATAGGTTATTAGATTAGTTGTTAGGTTAGATTAGATTAAGTATAGGTTAGGTTAGATTAGGTTAAGTTAATTTAGATTAGATTAAGTATAGGTTAGGTTATTTACTGAAGTATTTAATGGATAAAATACCAATTATCTTCCACCATTACATAATACAAATTTGAACAAGGTGAAATGTCATTGATGGATGTGTAATGTGATGCTTAAACACAGGAGGCCCTTGATCAGTGCTGAGAGCGTAATGAGTATTGATTTGAGTTCTGTGTAAAGTTAGACTGAGATGGTCTAGGTATGAGTAGTAAGAGAGTATGTACAGCAGACTCACCTGTACAGCAGACTCACCTGTACAGCACTTACCTGTACATACTAAGAGACTCACCTGTACAGCAGATTCACCTGTACATACTAAGAGACTCACCTGTGCAGCAGACTCACCTGTACAGCACTCACCTGTACATACTAAGAGACTCACCTGTACAGCAGATTCACCTGTACATACTAAGAGACTCCATCTGTACAGCACTCACCTGTACATACTAAGAGATTCACCTGTACAACAGATTCACCTGTACATACTAAGAGACTCATCTGTACAGCAAATTCACCTGTACATACTAAGAGACTCACCTGTACAGCAGACTCAACCTATACATACTAAGAGACTCATCTGTACAGCAAATTCACCTGTACATACTAAGAGACTCACCTGTACAGCAGATTCACTGTACATACTAAGAGACTCATCTGTACAGCAAATTCACCTGTACATACTAAGAGACTCCACCTGTACAGCAGACTCACCTATACATACTAAGAGACTCATCTGTACAGCACCACCTGTACATTAAGAGACTCACCTGTACAGCAGATTCACCTGTACATACTAAGAGACTCACCTGTACAGCAGACTCACCTGTACAGCAGACTCACCTATACATACTAAGAGACTCATCTGTACAGCAAATTCACCTTACATACTAAGAGACTCACCTGTACAGCAGACTCACCTGTACAGCAGACTCACCTATACAATACTAAGAGACTCATCTGTACAGCAAATTCACCTGTACATATTAAGAGACTACCTGTACAGCAGACTCACCCATACATACTAAGAGACTCACCTGTACAGCAGACTCACTCTACATACTAAGAGACTCACCTGTACAGCAGATTCACCTATACATACTAAGAGACTCATCTGTACAGCAAATTCACCTGTACATCTAAGAGACTCACCTGTACAGCAGACTCACCTGTACAGACAGACTCACCTATACATACTAAGAGACTCATCTGTACAGCAAATTACCTGTACATACAAGAGACTCACCTGTACAGCAGACTCACCTATACATACTAAGAGACTCACCTGTACAGCAGACTCACCTATACATACTAAGAGAACCTACCTGTACAGCAGACTCACCTATACATACTAAGAGACCATCTGTACAGCAGATTCACCTGTACAAACTAAGAGACTCACCTGTACAGCAGACTCACCTATACATACTAAGAGACTCACCTGTACAACAGATTCACCTTACATACTAAGAGACTCATCTGTACAGCAAATTCACCTGTACATACTAAGAGACTCACCTGTACAGCAGACTCACCTATACATTCCAAGAGACTCACCTGTACAGCAGACTCACCTATACATACTAAGAGACTCATCTGTACAGCAAATTCACCTGTACATACTAAGAGACCACCTTACAAGCAGACTCACCTATACATACTAAGAGACTCATCTGTACAGCAAATTCACCTATACATACTAAGAGACTCACCTGTACAGCACCACCTATACATACTAAGAGACTCACCTGTACAGCAGATTCACCTGTACAAACTAAGAGACTCACCTGTACAGCAGACTCACCTGTACAGCAGACTCACCTGTACAGCAGACTCGCCTATATACTAAGAGACTCACCTGTACAGAGATTCACCTGTACAGCACAGACTCACCTATACATACTAAGAGACTCCACCTGTACAGCAGATTCACCTGTACATACTAAGAGACTCACCTGTACAGCAGATTCACTATACATACTAAGAGACTCACCTGTACAGCAGATTCACCTATACATACTAAGACTCACCTGTACAGCAGATTCACCTGTACATATTAAGAGACTCACCTGTACAGCAGACTCACCTACATACTAAGAGACTCACCTGTACAGCAGATTCACTTATACATACTAAGAGACTCACCTGTACAGCAGATTCAACTTATACATACTAAGAGACTCACCTGTACAGCAGACTCACCTGTACAGCAGATTCACCTGTACATACTAAGAGACTCCACCTGTATAGCAGATTCACCTGTACATACTAAGAGACTCCACCTGTACAGCAGATTCACCTATACATACTAAGAGACTCGCCTGTACAGCAGATTCACCTATACATACTAAGAGACTCACCTGTACAGCACTCACCTGTACATACTAAGAGACTCACCTGTACAGCAGATTCACTTATACATACTAAGAGACTACCTGTACAGCAGACTCACCTATACATACTAAGAGACTCACCTGTACAGCAGATTCAATTTATACATACTAAGAGACTCACCTGTACAGCAGATTCACCTGTACATACGAAGAGACTCACCTGTACAGCAGATTCACCTGTACATACTAAGAGACTCACCTGTACAGCAAATTCACCTATACATACTAAGAGACTACCTGTACAGCAGATTCACCTGTACATACTAAGAGACTCACCTGTACAGCAGATTCACCTGTACATACTAAGAGACTCACCTGTACAGCAAATTCACCTATACATACTAAGAGACTCACCTGTACAGCAAATTCACTCCATAATACACAAGAGACCACCTGTACAGCAGATTCACCTGTACATACTAAGAGACTCACCTGTACAGCAGATTCACCTATACATACTAAGAGACTCACCTGACAGCAAATTCACCTATACATACTAAGAGACTCACCTGTACAGCAAATTCACCTATACATACTAAGAGACTCACCTGTACAGCAGATTCACCTGTACATACTAAGAGACTACCTGTACAGCAATTCACCTATACATACTAAGAGACTCACCTGTACAGCAGATTCACCTGTATAAAACTAAGAGACTCACCTGTACAGCAGATTCACCTGTACAAACTAAGAGACTCACCTGCTGTTTTTCAATCCCAGTATGACAGGACTTGCCTTTGAGTTGACTGAGGAGGTGATGCTGGAGTCAGCCTTGACCACTGCCACAGCAAAATACGAGGCATCCAATTGTCCATACACTTCTGACAGTACAGGAAACAGCCCGAACTCCCTGAAAGCATAAATACAGTTCCTCCACGAGTACAACAACAGGGGCTGTTATATATTAGGTACAGTCCCTTCACTAGTGCGTTTACAGGGCTCGTTATATAGCCTAGGTACAGTCCCCTTCACTAGTGTGTTTACAGGGCTCGTCATTTAGTGGCCAGTCCCCTTCACTAGTGCTTACAGGGGCTCGTCATATAGCTTAGGTACAGTCCTTCACTAGTGCATTTACAGGCTCGTCATATAGCCTAGGTCACAGTCCCTTCACTAGTGCTTACAGGGCTCAGCTTAGGCAGTCCCCTTCACTAGTGCGTTTACAGGGCTCGTCATATAGCCTAGGTACAGCCCCTTCACTAGTGCATTTACAGGGGCTCGTCATATACCTCAGGTACAGTCCCCTTCACTAGTGCGTTTACAGGGCTCGTCATATAGCTAGGTACAGTCCCTTCACTAGTGCGTTTACAGGGGCTCATCACATAGCCTAGGTACAGTCCCCTTCACTAGTGCATTTACAGGCCTGTCATATAGCCCAGGTACAGTCCCTTCACTAGTGCGTCTACAGGCTCTCATATAGCCTAGGTACAGTCCCTTCCACTAGTGCGTTTATAGGCTCATATAGCCTAGGTACAGTCCCTCACTAGTGCGTTTACAGGGCTCGACATATAGCCTAGGTACAGTCCCCTTCACTAGTGCGCTTGACAGGCCCGACATATAGCCTAGGACAGTCCCTTTCACTAGTGCGTTTACAGGGGCCCGTCAGGTTTAGTGCAGTGTGGCAGTCCTGTGTTTGTTGACATTCGACAGGAAACTCAACAAACTATGGAATCAAATTAAAACAATATTAAAACAAATATCTCAGTGTAATGATTTGTGGAATATTTACTTAGTATATGACTTGCTAATGTAAAACGCACTAGTGAAGGGTTAGGGTATTAGAGTTAGGTTAGTTAGCTATGGTAAGTAGGTTAGGTTAGATAGTTAGGCTAGGCTTGGGTTAGGGGTTAGAGTTAGGTTTGGTAAGGCTAGGGTTAGGGTTAGAGTTAAGTTTGGTAAGGCTAGAGTTAGGTTAGAGTTAGGTTTGGTAAGGCTAGAGTTAGGGTTTGGTAAGGCTAGGGTTAGAGTTAGGCTAGGGTTAGAGTTAGGTTAGGCTAGGTTAGAGTTAGGTTAGGCTAGGTTAGAGTTAGATTAGGTTACAGATTAGAGATAGGTTAGGCTAGGTTAGAGTTAGGTTAGGCTGGAGTTAGGTTAGACTCGGCTAGATAAGGTTAGATTAGGTTACTTAATCTTCAGGTAAACCCATGAACCAACATTAATACTCACACATGGCCTCTATACACATCCCCCATCAACAGTGGTGACGTGAGCAGAACCACTAGCCACAGCACTCAAGGCAGTCACCACCAGACGTAGGCGACACACATTCCAGAAAGGGACGAATCCTGCGGGCGTGTAGTACGTTACGAAGACCCTGGCACTTCTCTGGCCACAACTCTCAACACACAGTCGGACAGGTACTAGGACACCCCAAGCGGTCTATAGTTGTGTCATAGCCAACTGAGGGGCAACAGGCCACGAATTATATGGTGAATCAAGAAGAATTTGTAAAAGGAAAACAGAAAAGATATATGTGTTGGTTTCATGTTAACCCTTTGATGACGATGGCTTAACCCTTTGATGACGATGGTTTAACTTTGAGGACGATGGTTTAACCCTTTGATGACGATTATTTAACCCTTTGATGACGATTATTTAACCCTTTGATGACGATGGTTTAACCCTTTGATGACGATTATTTAACCCTTTGATGACGATTATTTAACCCTTGATGACGATTATTTAACCCTTGATGACGATGGTTTAACCTTTGATGACGATGGTTTAACCTTTGATGACGATTATTTAACCCTTTGATGACGATTATTTAACCTTTGATGACGATGGTTTAACTTTGATGACGATGGTTTAACCTTGATGACGATGGTTTAACGCTTTTGATGACGATGGTTTAACCCTTTGATGACGATGGTTTAACCCTTGATGACGATGGTTTAACCTTTGATGACGGTGGTTTAACTCTTTGATGACGATGGTTTAACCTTTGATGACGATGGTTTAACCCTTTGATGACGATGGTTTAACCCTTTGATGACGATGGTTTAACTCTTTGATGACGATGGTTTAACTCTTGATGACGATGGTTTAACCTTTGATGACGATGGTTTAACCCTTTGATGACGATGGTTTAACTCTTTGATGACGATGGTTTAACCCTTTGATGACGATGGTTTAATCCTTGATGACGATGGTTTAACTCTTGATGACGATGGTTTAACTTTGATGACGATGGTTTAACTTTTGATGACGATGGTTTAACCTCTTGATGACGATGGTTTAACTTTGATGACGATGGTTTAACTCTTGATGACGATGGTTTAACTCTTTGATGACGATGGTTTAACTCCTTGATGACGATGGTTTAACCCTTTGACGATGGTTTAACCCTTTGATGACGATGGTTTAACTCTTTGATGACGATGGTTTAACCCTTTGATGACGATGGTTTAACCCTTTGATGACGATGGTTTAACCCTTTGATGACGATGGTTTAACTCTTGATGACGATGGTTTAACTTTTGATGACGATGGTTTAACCCTTGATGACGATGGTTTAACCCTTTGATGACGATGGTTTAACTCTTTGATGACGATGTTTTAACTCTTTGATGACGATGGTTTAACCCTTTGATGACGATGGTTTAACCTTTATGACGATGGTTTAACTCTTTGATGACGATGTTTAACTCTTGACGATGGTTTAACCCTTTGATGACGATGGTTTAACCTTGATGACGATGGTTTAACTCTTGATGACGATGGTTTAACTTTGATGACGATGGTTTAACCCTTTGATGACGATGGTTTAACCCTTGATGACGATGGTTTAACTCTTGATGACGATGGTTTAACTTTGATGACGATGGTTTAACCTTGATGACGATGGTTTAACCCTTTGATGACGATGGTTTAACTGATGACGATGGTTTAACTCTTGATGACGATGGTTTAACCTTTGATGACGCTGGTTTAACCCTTTGATGACGATGGTTTAACCCTTTGATGACGATGGTTTAACCCTTGATGACGATGGTTTAACTCTTTGATGACGATGGTTTAACCCTTGAGGACGATGGTTTAACCCTTTGATGACGATGGTTTAACTTGATGACGATGGTTTAACCCTTTGATGACGGTGGTTTAACCCTTGAGTATGATTATGATAGTGAAATAACCCTTTGAAAAGAGTATTTTAATCCTTTGAGGACGATTATTTAACCTTTGATGACGATTATTTAACCTTTGAGGACGGTGGTTTAACCCTTGATGACGATTATTTAACCATTTAAGACGATGGTTTAACCCTCCAGGACTCAAAGTTGAGACACACTACAGATTGATAGATATTAATATTGTACAAGTAAATATACCTAACCTAACCCCATCCAGTAGCATTAATTTAACTTAGGTCCGTCGAGCTGTTACACTCTGTTAGCAAGTACTATACAAACAGGCTCCCGTTAACACAACAAGAAATCACCATTTTAACTCCATCATAATTTAGCTGTGATAATTGTTTGTAATTTTAGATTAGGTGAGAAATTTAAATACTTACGTTCTTAAGAAAATCACGGGCGTCACATGTGGTTGGCGCACGTGAAGGACTGATGGCGTGTTGAGACGGAGCAGACCATTGGCCCACGGTCTGAGGGTAACATCGCCAGATTGTGAGGTCAAAACCGCTAACTCCATTACTTTTGATAGAACGGCCACTTCCTTCTTGTTTCTGTGTAATAAAAGGATAAGTTTCACAAGGGAGTATAGTTATTCTTTCTTATGTAATACCTGTCAGATTCATTTAAAAAATAGGGGAAAGATTAACTAATTTTGTTCAGTTCAGATGGAAAAAGTCACATTTGGATATCCTATAGAAACGAATATTATTTTGTCAGTGGTCTTAGGTACAAATAAATTAAATATCAATTAACCTCAACATAATAAAAATCATATACTACAGATAACAACAAAATTAACACAAGATGTACTAACGTGCGTAGTTCGAGCAACCCAAGAATTCCATGGTCTAGCGGCCCAATGACAAGGTTTAGTGGAGTCTAAGTTTTCCACCCGGCCATCAGGACACAACAAGCCATAATTATCTGCTATAACCTGTAAGAAAAATGAAAATAACAGTCACTTATCATCATTCTTACCCAAAATAAAGAACAATGTTTAAATAAATGGGAAATATTGTATATAAAATAACTCACGTCAGTTCTGGCTATCAAAGTGAGAAAATAAAAGAACTTTATGTATGAGTTACATTATTCCTAGACAAAAAAAGAAATGTTTTAATAAATGAAGAACTAATCAATATAAAATCAACATCAGTTCTCTCCTTGAAAATTCTCTAACAGCAGAGAGTTTTGTCCAAGCTACATCTCCGGATGAGTCGACCAGACACCTCAGCGCGCCTTTGTACCCAGCGTGGTCATCATCCCTACCACAGCGGCCAGGGTTACGACATATAGTACATAGGCTGCGGTACTTTTCCTCTGTAGGTTAAGTAAGGTTAAGTTAGGTTAAGTTAGGTTAAGGTGAGATTAAGTTAAGATTAGGTTAAGGTTAGGATAAGGTATTCAATAATCAGGTGAAACAAGCGAGGGTGCCTAAACTTCATGTCGTTCTCAGTTTGTTTATATAGTTATGACTAAATAAGCGACTCAACTTCACCGGTGGTCGAGTCACCAGTGTCTCTCTGACTCACACCTCCTGAAACTGACTCACAAATCCTGAAACTGACTCACACACTCCTGAAATTGACTCACACCCTAAAACTGACTCACACCCTGAAACTGACCCACACGCCTAAAACTGACTCACAAATCCTGGAAACTGACTCACACACCCCTAAAACTGACCCACACGCCCTAAAACTGACTCACCAAATCCTGAAACTGACTCACACACCCTGAAACTGACTCACACCCCTGAAACTGACTCACCCTGAAATTGACTCACAAACCCTGAAATTGACCCACACACCCCTAAACTGACCACACGCCCTAAAAACTTACTCACTCCCTGAAACTGACCCACACACCCTGAGGCAGCTCACACACCCTAAACTGACCCACACGCCCTAAAACTGACCCACACACCCTGAAACTGACCCACACGCCTTAAAACTGACCCACACACCCTGAAACTGACTCACACACCCTGAAACTGACTCACACACCCTGAAACTGACCCACACACCCTGAAACTGACCCACACACCCCTGAAACTGACCCACACACCCCTGAAACTGACCACACACACCCTGAAACGACCCACACGCCCTGAAACTGACCCACACTCCCTAAAACTGACTCACACCCTGAAACCGACCTACACACCCTGAAACTGACTCACACGCCCTAAAACTGACTCACAAATCCTGAAACTGACTCACACACCCCTAAAACCGACCCACACGCCTAAAACTGACTCACAAATCCTGAAACTGGCTCACACGCCCTAAAACTGACCCACACACCCCTGAAACGACTCCACACCCCTGAAACTGACTCACACACCCCTAAAACTGACCCACACACCCTGAAATTGACTTACTGAGCTGGATATTCGTCGCGTTATCAGGGACCCAATCTCAAGGATACAAGCCTGGCCAAAGTAATTAGATATGGCCCTCAGATCGTGTTCAACTACCGTCCTTGTCTGGTTGCAGTCCATTTTAATTTCGCCTTTCTCCAGCAGCTGAAAAAATAGTGAAGAGGAAGTCAAAGGAGGGATCAGGAGAATTCAAAGGGTAATACAGAGAAGTCAAGGGGAGCGATCGGGGTTAAAGGGCGGGGGATACAGGAATTCAAAGGGATGCCAAAGGGAGGAATTCAAAGGATGTTAAAAGGGAGATTCAAAGGAGGGTCGAGAGAGAAAAACAAAGGTTTAGAGATTCAAAGTTAAGATTCAAGGAAGATAACGAACATGGATTACTAGAAAGTCAAGGAATGGCAGTCACAGAAAATGGAAGGCAATGAATATGGAAGTCAAGAAAATGGAAGTCAAGCTGAATAAGTGATTTTTCTGGCACCTGTTGTCTCTGGGTGTGTAGCAGACAACAAGGAACCAGCATACCTGATAAACACCAATAATGGTTCATGTTACAAAAAAGTACCACGAACATCATCACATTACCTTGATTCGTATATATAGGCTATTCAAACCGTACTTAGCCCAAATATAACTATTCTAAAGATTTATTGGATAGGTTAGTAAAAGTTTGGTTAGTTTATATGTCGCAAGAATAATATTGTAAATGATTTTCCGTCGCTGTTCGTGGTAATATTTTAGCTCTCCATTTTGCGTTTTGGAAGCCTAGTTATTGGAAGTTGTAAATGGATTTTTCTAATTGTAAACTAAGATCTCTATGATATTTGAATATTTATACATATTGGGATGAACTCTTTTTATATTTAAACCAATAAATTAACACAGGAGAATGATTTTTTGGCGGGAAGTGTTTAAATTTTCAAATCAATCAAATTTCTTTTTTATATAATGTAAACGTCCATAAATAGAATTGCATAATTTTTCAGTTTATAACATGAAATAATAATGCAATTTAACACCGTATGAATATTTATTAAAATGAGATAGACGAAAATTTAGACAGCCATTTGACTGAACAACTGCCAGAGAGAACTAAGATGGCGGGAAGGATTACTAGTATGATTTTTATCCAGTGTTTTTTATCCTATTTTACCTCGTATGCTGGTCTTATAAACGCTCTATGATAACTCCTTTATTATAGCAAGTGCTCGGATGTCGCTTCTCAACAGGACTCCGGAATGAAGGTAGGAACGTTATTGATTGAGTTTTAATAAATTCTTGTTATTATTATTATTATAATTATTATTATTATTATTATTATTATTATTATTGTTATTATTATTATTATTTATTATTATTGTTATTATTATTATTGTATTATTAGATTAGGTTGGGCTGGGTTGGTTAGGTTGGGTTGGGTTAGATTAGGTGGGTTAAGATTAGAGTTAGGTTAGGTTATGCTAAGTTAGGTTAGGTTGGGTTAGTTAGGTCAGATCTCGAGGCAATTTGACCAGCTCATGCAGACTCTTTGCATAGTCGCCGATGACTTGCTGGCTAGTGTAGTGTGTATACAATAAATGACGCGAGATTATGAAGTTACGATAAGAAGTAATTTATGAATGATAACACCTGTAAAATAACTTTAAAAAATATAATATTTAAAAGTTAACTTACTTTTAATATTAACTGAAGGTTGCATACTTAAAATACCATAATAATATTGAAATACGACTGTTGAAGAAAAATAAACGAAAATACCTTACATTTCAACCATAACTACTATATATTGTGCTGTGGTCTGGTAGTGGTATTAATTTAGGTTAGGTTAAATTTAATTATATTACGATATCTTAAATTATGTTAATTATGTTAGATAATGTTAAGTTGACTAGGTGATGTTAGTAAGTGCAATAGTAGTAATATTATGGTAGGGGTAGTAATAGTGGCAGTATGGTAGTAATAGTAGCAGCTTGGTAGCAGTAGTCGTAATATGGTAGTAATAGTAGCAGTATGGTAGTAATAGTAGCAGTTTGGTAACAATAGTAGTAATATGGTAGTAATAGTAGCAGTATGGTAGTAATAGTAGCAGTTTGGTAGTAATAGTAGCAGTTAGGTAGTAATAGTAGCAGTATGGTAGTAGTAGCAGTTTGGTAGTAATAGTAGCAGTTTGGTAGTAATAGTAGCAGTATAGTAGTAATAGTAGCAGTTTGGTAGTAATAGTAGCAGTTTGGTAGTAATAGTAGCAGTTTGGTAACAATAGTAGTAATATGGTAGTAATAGTAGCAGTATGGTAGTAATAGTAGCAGTTTGGTAACAATAGTAGTAATATAGTAGTAATAGTAGCAGTATGGTAGTAATAGTAGCAGTTTGGTAGTAATAGTAGCAGTTTGGTAACAATAGTAGTAATATGGTAGTAATAGTAGCAGTTTGGTATAGTAGCAGTTTGGTAATAATAGTAGCAGTTGGTAACAATAGTAGTAATATGGTAGTAATAGTAGTATATAGGTTGTTAATGTATTAAGTAATTGGTAGTAATATTAATATAGTATATAGTAGCAGTTTGGTAGTAATATTATAATTTGGTAGTAGTAGCCATAGTATTAGTAGTAAGTTTAAGTAGTATTTTGTCCCAATAATAGTAGTAGTGTGTTGTGGCAATAGTAGCCATAGTAGTATATTTGTAGTAGTAGTTGTAGATTAACTTACGTGCGAAGGGTATATTCAGCCGGCATTTCTGGCATATCGTGTGACAAGACTTGGACTCAGACACACTCTTAATCTTGGTCTTCCTCACCACTGCCACCCCTGGTAACGCCACGGCTCTGTAACACCAATAATGTAACACCAGTCATGTAACACCACGTCATGTAACACCAGTCATGTAACACCACGATGTAACACCAGTCATGTAACATAAGACAATAAGGAGTCTGCAATAGGCCGGTTGGTCTGTGCATGGCAGCTCCTGTCGAGAGTTACTACCACTCTCTATCATCCATGAATCTATCTAGCCTCCTTTAAAAACTTTCCAGCGTTCCCCGCACTACAAAGTTGGTAGCTTGTTCCCCTCGTCCACCACCCTATTTGTAAACCAGTTCCTTCCTATCTCCTCCTAAACCTAAACGTATCAGCAAAATCCATTGCTCGAGTCCTATCCTGCTCGGATATTATAAGAACTTTATCTATACCCTTTATTGATTCCTTTCACCCAATAATACTTCTATCATATCTCCCCGCACTCTTCGTCTTTCTAGGAATGCAAGTTTAGTTTCTTTAACCTATCTTGATATGGAAGGTTTCTAGAGTCCCGGAATCATTTTCGTCATTCTTCGCTACACACTCTGGTGAATTTATATCCATTCTATAATAGGGCACCAGAACTGAACACATAATCGAGGTGCGGCCTGACTACCACAAGATATAGTTGCAATAAGACCTCTGCACTCTTGTTACTTACACTTCTAGATATAAACCCAATACTCTGTTTGCCTTATTTCGAACATTAACGCATTGTTTTCTGGGCCGTAGGTCGGGCTTACACCAGCCATGTAACACCTAACTTAACGCTAAAATGTGTTAACCTAACCCTAACCTAACCTAACCTAACCCCACCTAACCAAACCAACTCACCATCCTTGCTCTTCAGATCACGTGACTCGGCTATGACCTGTATCTCGTCACCGTACAGCTCCCTGGCGAGGTAAACGTCTTCAGGTTGTGTTGGTAGCAGGTCAGCTTCCTTCTTCATGATCTTGTGTAAACAGTCGTATCTGCCGGGGCAAAATAGATACTAGGATGAGTGTGGTAAAAAAAAATATTTAACGGATTTTATATGTCCGTTAGAATAGGGTGTCCGTTAGATTGGGTATCCGTTATTTAGGGTTCGTTAGATAGGGTGTCCGTTAGATAGGTAACCGGTTAGATAGGGTATCCGTTATATAGAGGTCCGTTAGATAGGTGTCCGTTAGATTGGGTGTCCGTTGGATAGGTGTCCGTTAGATTGGGTGTCCGTTAGATGGGTATCCGTTAGATAGAATTGTCCGTTAGATAGAGTCCCTTATTTAGGGGTCCGTTAGATAGGTATCCGTTATATAGAGGGTCCGTTATATAGGGTGTCCGTTATATAGAGGTCGTTAGATGTGAAACTTTCATTTAACGAACTATATGGGGAGAAGTCCGTTATATGCAGGTTTCACTGTTCGCTTATTGAGGTTACCTTAATGATTAGCCTCCTCCCCCTCCTCTTCCTCCCTCCTCTTCATCTTCCTCTTCCTCCTTCTCTTCCATCTTCCTCTTCCTCTTCCCTTTTCTTCTTCCTCCTCCACCTCTTCCTTTCTTACCTCTTCCTCCTTCTCTTCCACCACACACACCACCACCACCACACACCACACCACACACACACACACCACACACCACCACCACACAGACCACACCCACCATACACCACACACACCACACACCACACACCACCACACACCACACACCACCACACACACCACCACACCACACACACACACACACCACCACACCACACACACACACACCACACCACACCACCCACACCACAGCCCCACACCACACCCCACACACACACCACACACCACACCCCCACACCACACACACCACACCACACAACACCCACACACCACACCACAGCCACACACACACACACACACACCACACCACCACACACACCACCACCCACACACCACACCACACACACCACCACACCACACACAGACCACCACACACCACACCACCACACACCACACACCACACCCCACACCACACCACACACACACCACACCACCACACACACACCACACACACACACCACACACCACACCACACACACCACACACCACACACCACACACCACACCACACCACACCACACACCACACACCCACACACACCACCACACCACATCACACCACACACCCACACCACACACACACATCACCACACACACCACACCACCACACCACCACACACACACCACACACACACACACACCACACACACCACACCACACCACCACCACACACACCACACCACCACACACACACACCACAGACCACACCACTCCACCACACCCACCACCACACCACACCACCACACACAGACCACACCCACACACCACACCACACACACCACCACACCACAC